GAGAGAGAGAGAGAGAGAGAGAGAGAGAGAGAGAGAGAGAAGACGCGAACGAACGAACGTGTTCGGTCGATCGTTTCTCTCGGACGGCCTCGGCAGCTGCGGGATTCTTTATCGATAATTATAATGCGAGAGCATCGTGATTCTCGATATCGCGGAAACTGATTCCGAGCGGCCGCGATCGCGATACAACGAAATTCCGCAGCCGACAGATGAGAAGAGGGTGAAGATGGAGAGGAGGCTTTTATTTTTCGGAACGGTTCGAAGGAAAATTAAAATTTTCGATAATAGTGTGTGGAGGCTGCAATTTTATAAATGAAGGCACGAGCGTAAATTTTATATAAACTGCAGGATCGCTGCAGTCGCGCGAGATGTAATTCCTGTAAGAGGCGGATATTCGGGAATTTGGAGGCAATTTGGAGAGCAACGAAAGACGGAACTATGCACGCGACTCATTGGACCGCGATGATTATTATCGCGAACGGTCTTAATGACTTTTATTGAACGCGACTCGCGTACGGAGAGAGTCGGTACATCAGAGCTGACAATTATTGCGATGATAAAAAAAAAAAATAAAAAAAGCGAGACTCGAGCGAAGCGCTCCCTCCCTCCCCCTTCTCTCTTTTCTACCAAGAATCCGCGGTGGATTTACGAGCCAAGTCATTCGTTCGCCGCAACTCGCCGACCGTCGCGAATCGATGAAAACGTGCACCGCGGCGACGACGACGACAACGACGACGTCGATGTGGCGGCGTCGACGACGACGACGGATGATGATGATGGAAACACAAACTCGTCGCGCTCGAGGATCTCGGATGCCGCGCGCGAAAGGCTGCTGGAGAGGAATGGAGGAATCCGATGGAACGAAAGGCGGAGGAAGGCAGAAAGAGAGATAGCGAGAGATAAAGATTACCGGAGACGACGGCGAGAAAGAGAAAGGAACGGACGGAGAAGCGAGCGGAAAGAAGCCGCCGATAGAGCTTGTGCCGCCACTGCGAAGCTTAGGAGTCAAGTTCTAGTGCACGGCCGAAACGGGAGAGTCGACCGCTTCCCCTCTCTCGGCTATGCCCGCCCCACACCAAGCCAAGCCAGTCCAGTCGGGGGTCCGGGAGTGGAGGAGGCATCCGAGAAGTGGTGGGGGAAACTCGGGGAAGTAAACGGGGTAGGGAAGGTGGATGGACGGGGAGCCTTGCACGGCGCACTGTGCAATGTCGAGCGTGCGCGAGCCACACCGGAGGCCCTCCTCACTCTCTCTCTCTCTCTTTCTCTCTCGCATGGGGATTCTACCAGGTGTGACCGAAATTTGCGCCGTCAGAGCGAGAGCGTGCGGGTAATAGGGAATGCCGATATAAGGGGGGGAGGGGGGGGGGCGCGGGAGGGAGAGGGCCAGGTCGCGGGCAAACTCGCGGGCGCGAACGCGCAAGCGTGTGTACGTGCGTACGCGGAGGGCGCGAGGGGGGAGGGGAGGGCACGCGTGCGTGTGAGGGAACGTTCGATCGGAGTCGGAGAGATGTTTTTTCGCCCCCTTCCCACCCCCTCTCATCATCCTTCCCCAGGCGGCCGGTAGACGGCCTGGTGAACGACGACGCCGAACGTTGCGCGATTAGAGCATCGCGCGTGCGGATGCGTTCGCGAAAATTATTTCGGCGAACGGACTACGCTTTTATCGGGGACGTAAAGTCCGCGTAGCGGGAGCGGGAAGTTCGGGATGCGGTGTTAATTTTAGACTTCGTTGCGAATAGTCGGGCGATCGATGAAAATAGCCGACGAGAGATTCGCGTAATGAGATTCGGGTCGATGCGGATGAGTATCTCTCACGGATACGATGGTATTCGTCGGAAGTACTCCTTAACCCCTACCCGCCCGTTTCTACCCCAATAACGTAGATTAACTTTAATCTTAGTTTAACTCACTTTTTTATGTTTTTCTATTATAATTCTAAGAAAAGGATAAAGAGTAAGTTAAATTGAGATTAAAGTTAATCCACACAATTGATAGAAACGAATATAAAAACTTGGTTTTTCATTATTCGGTTAACTCGTGAGGCTTATATTCACCCTCACTTAACGTAATGATAATGTAAAAGTTGTGTTATTCAAGCTGTGATTAATCACTAAGCTGGTAGTTTCGTAGCGGTAACTTCACAAATTTTTCACTGCGAAATTGCATCGGTTTAGTGATTAATCGGATAGAAAAAAATCAGGTAAAGTCTAATCACAAGTTAATCGGCAAATGAAAAACCTAAGTTTGGTTATAGATTTCTTAACGATGCTTCTGAAATTTCCACGGGTATTTTCTTCAAAGAAACTACGCGATTAAGCTCGCAGGTTATGGTTATCTTCATGTCTTGACGCACCATTAAATGCCAACGTTTCGTAAACATTGCAGGTCACTTCATCAAGACGAGAAGTAACCTGATACAGTATCAAGTTGCTTCTCGTCTTGATCAAATGACCTGCAATATTCACGAAACATTGGCATTTAATGATATCTCAAGACATGGAGAGACCTCGTAAAACATAACACATCTTTCCCCTTTTGACGTACAAGAAATTTTTTAAACATATTCAGGAAGGTGGGATCGAATTAGACCCGATGCTCTGTTTTATTTTTTTCCAGCTGCCGAATTTATTACAAAATAAATAAAAAAAGAAATAACAACATAAAGCTTCTTCTACTTCAATTTCTTCCTATGTTTATTTATAAATTTAAAAAATGCAAAGTTTACTGAGGCGTCGCTTTTAGGAGACACACACAGTCGATACAAGTGTCGCTCTACCTTTTTATTATTCAATGCAAAAAAGAATAAGTTTGTGTCAACTGGGGTCACCTAAACGGAAAGTAGCCTAACCAAATTTAAATACCTGATGCTTGAATTGGAAATTGTAAAATTTCACACAAAAATATTGTTAGATATTAAGACCCGCCTTGACCGGAAATGGTCATCCTCACTTATTTTTGCCACGATAATTACAATAAAATAAAACTTCGACCGACACGGAGCTATATCGGGAGCTACTTCTGACCGTACCATTAGAGGATCGACAAGTACGAATCCGGAATGTCGAACTTTAATTTTGCGGCAGTCCCGTGCAATATTTAGATATGCGGCAACACGTTATTAGCGACGAATGTGTACATACATGCATACGGGTATCATTTGTACGCACGGCGAGACGTGATTACGATGGTGAATGTTAAAAAAAAAAAAAAAGACTTTTCAAGATCACTATGCCGGCCAGTTGCGAAACACACGCTGTTCCATTAGCGGATTATTCGGAAGCGGGATGCGGGCTCGTACGAGACGTCAGTATTGCGTATGCTACGTGGAATAATCCTACGTAAATGACACATTTATTTATGTATACATGGCTGTTCCATCTAATTCGGACTAATTTTCGCTGCAGAAATAAACCATAACCATAATATGTAACGCTCTTCTCTTCTCGCATTCCCTTCTCATACTACAAAAAAAGATGTATGTTAAAACCGATATACTAAATTTTAATAAATATTTGTTTAGATACTACTAACTAAACATTTACTTACAGTAAATAAATATTTACTTAAAAAAAAAATATTTGAAATCAAATTAATGATTCGTGTACTAACTACAATAAAATATATTTTACATCTAGTAAGTATTTATAGTACTATTCAAAATCTATTAAATTTTTTCGTTACTCTCATCCCCGTACTACAAAGGAAAAATTTATAAATAACCATTTCTTCTCGATAATACGTAACACGTCTGCTACAGAAACACGGCCATTCATACCAGCGTCCAGACCGAACGTAAATAATTCTTAGAAAAAAGCACTCACGCTCTCGAACATTCTCTTACGCTTCGTACCTTTACAAAGGCAAGTAGCAAATATCCTTTAACATGTAAATCCCGCTATCTTCGCTGGATCATTCATGTTTCTTTAAAATCCTCTGAACTTATATAATAGTATAACAATTTTATACCTTCACAAAGCGACGGGTCTCCCAACAATGCCATAGAGAAACCGCGTGCATATTTTTTTCTAGCCGTGTTTATGCAATCCGTCGGTTTCTTTACAATTCCGATATAAGTCCGGTTGTTTACGAAAAAAACGAACTCGACAAACATTGATAAGGAACTCGCTTTCGCGATTACTTCTATCTATGCTAGACTAATTTTGCACTCGGTCGAAAAGGGAGAAGCTACGCAGATGTGGACCGCGTCGCAGCGAGCAACCTGCGCCGCACCTGTTTCGATGCCGTCGATAGATTCGCCATAGCAACATCCTAGGCATGCCCGCTGTCCTCACGGCGAGAGAGAGAGAGAGCGAGAGAGAGAGAGAGAGAGAGAGAGAGAGAGTAGAGAGAGAGAGAGAGAGAGAGAGAGAGAGAGAGAGAGAGCTCGTTTTTGAGGAAGCCCCGAAGCTTCTGCAACGCGCCCGACAGAAACCTGTATTCGCGAGCAACGCGCGCCGGCCGACGAGTTATCTACGTTATTTGCATAAAAAATAGTTCGGCGAACCGCCGTGATACGCAAGAAATCGAGATAACCCGTGAGTGAGGCTCTCCGACAGCCTCGTACTCGAAACGAGCAAAAGGGAGCAGGCAACCGTGGGAATTTCGTGAATTAAAAATTCTCAACGTTGAGAAATTTTGAAAGCGTCGAAAAAGTCTTCAGGTCATCCA